GGGAAATTTCGACCTATGTCCATAAACGAATCCTGAGGTAAGATTTGGACATGAATTTCGACTAAAAATTATGTGTTCAGATTTAAATGCCAGATTAATTTAGAGGGAAAATCATGGATAAAAATCGAAGCCTCGTAAAAATCGGATGGGTTTCGACCGAGTTATGGGGATGGGAAATTTCTACCTACATATGTCTATATACGAATCTTAAGGTAAGATTTGGACATGAATTTCGACTAAAAAATATGTGTTCAGATTTAAATGCCATTATAATTAAGAGGGAAAACCATGGATAAAAATCGAAGCCTCGTAAAAATCGGGTGGGTTTTGACCGAGTTATGGGGATGGGAAATTTCTACCTACATATGTCTATATACGAATCTTGAGGTAAGATTTGGACATGAATTTCGACTAAAAAATATGTGTTCAGATTTGAATGCCATATTAATCTAGAGGGAAAACCATGGATAAAAATCCAAGCTTTGTAAAAATCGGTTGAGTTTTGACCGAGTTATGGGGATTGGAAATTTCGACGTATGTCTATATACGAATCTTGAGGTAAGGTTTGGACATGAATTCCGACTAAAAAATATGTGTTCAGATTTAAATGCCAGATTAATTAAGAGGGAAAACCATGGATAAAAATCAAAGCCTCGTAAAAATGGGTTGAGGTTTGACCGAGTTATGGGGATGGGAAATTTCTACCTATGTCCATAAACGAATCCTGAGGTAAGATTTGGACATGATTTTCAATTAAAAAATATGTGTTCAGATTTGAATGCCAGATTAATCTAGAGGGAAAACCATGGATAAAAATCCAAGCTTTGTAAAAATCGGTTGAGTTTTGACCGAGTTATGGTGATTGGAAATTTCGACGTATGTCCATAAACGAATCTTGAGGTAAGATTTGGACATGAATTTCGACTAAAAATTATGTGTTCAGATTTAAATGCCAGATTAATTTAGAGGGAAAACCATGGATAAAAATCGAAGCCTCGTAAAAATCGGATGGGTTTTGACCGAGTTATGGGGATGGGAAATTTCGACCTATGTCCATATACGAATCCTGAGGTAAGATTTGGACATGAATTTCGACTAAAAATTATGTGTTCAGATTTAAATGCCATTATAATTAAGAGGGAAAACCATGGATAAAAATCGAAGCCTCGTAAAAATCGGGTGGGTTTTGACCGAGTTATGGGGATGGGAAATTTCTACCTACATATGTCTATATACGAATCTTGAGGTAAGATTTGGACATGAATTTCGACAAAAAAATATGTGTTCAGATTTAAATGCCAGATTAATCTAGAGGGAAAACAAAATATAAAAATCCAAACCTCGTAAAAATCTCTTGAGTTTTGACCGAGTTATGGGGATGGGAAATTTCGAACTATGTCTATATACGAATCTTGAGGTAAGATTTGGACATGAATTTCGACTAAAAAATATGTGTTCAGATTTAAATGCCAGATTAATTTCGAGGGAAAACAATGGATAAAAATCGAAGCCTCGCAAAAATCGGATGGGTTTTGACTGAGTTATGGGGATGGGAAATTTCGACCTATGTCCATAAACGAATCTTGAGGTAAGATTTGGACATGAATTTCGACTAAAAATTATGTGTTCAGATTTAAATGCCAGATTAATTTAGAGGGAAAACCATGGATAAAAATCGAAGCCTCGTAAAAATCGGATGGGTTTTGACCGAGTTATGGGGATGGGAAATTTCGACCTATGTCCATAAACGAATCTTGAGGTAAGATTTGGACATGAATTTCGACTAAAAATTATGTGTTTAGATTTAAATGCCAGATTAATTTAGAGGGAAAACCATGGATACAAATCGAAGCCTCGTAAAAATCGGATGGGTTTTGACCGAGTTATGGGGATGGGAAATTTCGACCCATGTCCATAAACGAATCCTTAGGTAAGATTTGAACATGAATTTCAATTAAAAAATATGTGTTCAGATTTGAATGCCAGATTAATCTAGAGGGAAAACCATGGATAAAAATCCAAGCTTTGTAAACATCGGTTGAGTTTTGACCGAGTTATGGGGATTGGAAATTTCGACGTATGTCTATATACGAATCTTGAGGTAAGGTTTGGACATGAATTCCGACTAAAAAATATGTGTTCAGATTTAAATGCCATTATAATTAAGAGGGAAAACCATGGATAAAAATCAAAGCCTCGTAAAAATGGGTTGAGGTTTGACCGAGTTATGGGGATGGGAAATTTCTACCTATGTCTATATACAAATCTTGAGGTAAGATTTGGACATGAATTTCGACCAAAAAATATGTGTTCAGATTTGAATGCCAGATTAATGCAGAGGGAAAACCATGGATAAAAATCGAAGCCTCGCAAAAATCGGTTGAGTTTTGACCGAGTTATGGGGATGGGTAATTTCGATCTGTTTAATATACGAATCTTGACATGAATTTGAACTAAAAACGATGTAGTTAGATTTGAAGGCCAGATTAATCTAGAGGGAAAAGGATGTATAAAAAAGGCAAGCCTCATGATAATCGGTTGAATTTTGACCGAGTTAGGAAATTTTGACCTATATCTAATCTAATATCTAATTAATGAGTTTGACGTCGATCAAGGATGGTAAACAAAAATATTTTCATTTCAAAAGATTGCATTAGATTATGGGTTATGTCTATCCGATGAAGTTATCCGATAAGACAGTGCGACGATCACATAAGGATCGCGAGCTATATGAAGTCGATTGGATATCATCATATAGCTAACTTTCCCCTATCAAGTCATAATCGAAAGGGGCTTATGATGGCGTCTCAGCTGCTCATTATTTACACATTTCGCCTGCGCCACAGAACAAATTGCATTAGTCTATAAGGATATTTTGGCAAGGCCCTGACAAATTAATGCACATTTGCGACAACATCTTCAATTCAAATCATGTGACATGTCACATTTGATGTAGCTGTTGTTTTCATCGTCGTCGTTGTTGTTGTAGTTCTCGGAGTACCATTGAAAATCAAGCAGCATCTCATTTGCTGCATCAACTGATGCTCCGGTATATGTGCTCATCCCCATCCTCATCCTCATCCGCATGTGCTCATCATTGTTCCTGTTGCTGTTGTCTTGTCTCTCGCCAAGGCCCAAAACACTCATTTGTACCCTCCCCAACCTGGCACCAACCCGTTCTCGGTCCTCAGCTGCGGCTGGCGATGTCGCAAATGCGCAACAATTCGTTCAAGTGTAAATAAAGCATAGAGCCGAGTCTGAAATCTAGTCTGGTAGATTGCGATGGAGACGACGACTGCGGCGTCTGTGGCGTTAAAATGACAAAACATCTGCACCTGGACGCGGACGCCAGCGAGTGGCGCGGGGCGTGGCGGTGTGCAGCGGGTTATCTTTTGTCATTTTTTTTTTTTATAGCAAGTGGCAGGTGGCGCGTCACGCTGTCCCCTCACCCCTGCACCACCACCAATCACACAGATGCATTGTCTTTGTGTATGTTTGTCGCGCACGTGCTCTAACCGTAGCCGGTGTTAATATATTTGCCCGTGGCCCAAGTGGCTGCAGCGGCGCGACAGTCAGCACCGTGGCAACGCCCAGGGCACGCTGTGCTCCTGACTTTATATACCCTGTAAACATTGTAATCGGTTAATACATGGGGTGCATTTAAGTGAAGTATGCAATATATACTTCATCATTGTTTAGAGATAAATAGTATGAGATAATCTGAGTCTATCTGGTCTGTCTGTCTATATGAGTAATACCGTCTCGAAGATTATATGGAACATCAATTTTTGAATTCCAAACGCGTTTGAGGTATATTAAAATTATAATTAAGAGTTCTTCATTCAATAGAGTAGAGTGCTATGATTGAAGGTACGAATGACAGCACTTAACTGATTACAGGGTATTGTCTTGTAAAACACACCCAATGGGAGCCTTGCTGCTACTTGTTTTTGTCTAGCGTTCACACTATGGCGCCAGCTCCCAACGCCGTTGTCAACTGTTGTCTGACTCTTGCATTTTCGGTAGCCTGGGCATGGTGTGGGCCAACGTGTTGCCACGGCAGGGAGATAATAAGTCTGGCGTAAATTAGTTTGCCATTTTGAGTTATGAATGCGCATTTCAACGAACTACTTTATGTGGGTGCGTATGTGTGTCTCGGTGTGACTGTGTGTGGGTGCCTGCTGCAGTGTGCACTGGATCACAATGGATTAAAACTTGGCTGGGTATTACTTATGAGCAGCTAGCTCTTAACGCTGACAAACTTGGAATGTTGCTGATTGGCCTGGCCAGAAGAGCTGCTGGCAATATGCTGAAATATGCGCGAGTGCTACGGATTTATTTGTCAAAATCGGATGTTAGTTAGGGTATATGGCCGCGTGTACACAGTAAGCTACTTAGAGGCTGTGCAAATGCAGCATTTTGATGGGTGCGGCATGCGCATGCAATCCTTGGCAGTTGCATTGCCTTATTCCATATATCATGTATAACACATTAAAATTGGAAAAACAAATATTACGAAGAAGCCTTTTCAAGGCAACCAATCAAAAGCTTTTAGTCAGGGATTACGAAAGCGAGACTACAATATGAAAGGGGATGTGTAAATATGTATATAGACCTTGCAGGTATAGACTCCAATGTGGTATCACATGCGTCTGCACTGCGTAGCAATGCGGCCTTAAATTTGAAAGCACGAGCTGCTGATTAGAATAAATAATCAAATAACACCACGCTATTACGAGCCCAGTAACTATTTAATAAAAAATATATATATAGAGGCAATATTATGAAATATATCATATTTTAATTTGACAAATGACGAAAAATTTAACTGCATTTAATGTGTAATTAAACATGCAAAAATATAATGGTGAAATTTATATTTGTATTTTTGAAAGCAGTTTAAATTTTAGTTAATTAATTAACAGAGGCTTTGCAAACTATCAGCTATTATTTAATTGACAGTATTTGCTTTTGAAATTAAAGATTCATTTAATTTACAGCTCTTTAAAGCGAATAAAATGATGGGACAAGTTGAATGCTTGATCTTAACGGCTTATATGACCCGGCAAATTAAATGTTACACCAGCAACAAAATTTGGCTAATAAAGCATGAATTAGTTGCTGCCCGACATACACACCCACACAGGCGTACATACACGCACACAGTCACACATCGGATGGCATAATTAAACATATGATTGTTGGACAAGGGGCGGCCGGCAAGACTAATATGCCCAATCATAAAACTAATCTACATGAAAAAAGCTCATTAAAATAACGCATACGCCTCGTTGGCCGCTGTCAACAAGCTAGCCAGCATAACAACAACAACAACAACAATAACAATGCGTCAAAGAAGAAGCAGAAGAGTTGCTGACAAATGTGTACATGGACTGATAAATGTAGTTGACTGTAAATGCGTCTGGCCGTAAGCAGCTCCTTCACTGACTGGTTTTTGCGGCTGGGCCACGTCTAACCGAGCAAATTAACATAAATGAATTTGCAGCTGTCGCTCGTAAAGTTATTACACCGTGCCAGACAAATGTGGCTAAGAACAAATCACACTGACCCCGTAGTTGAGAATAGTGGGCGTGTGTCGACTGCCAGCCTGAGTTAAAGATAAATGGAAAGTCCTGAAGCTGTAAACATGTGGCTTTAATAACGTCACATGAATCATTTATGCTATGCTAAATCCAAATACCAGCAGCAACAGCAGCAGCAGCGACGGCTTTGAAGGTGCCAAGCATATTAAGTAATACGCATCGCGCTCCAAAATCCAGCCGCGACTTTAAGGACGAGGCACTAACCTACTACAACAAGGCGCCTTAATAATAATAATAATAAAAAAAAGCAAACTGTGTCAGTGCGAATGCCGAAACTCCACTGAGAGCGCATTGTGGGGCATGCGCACTGCCAAATAGCATCCACAAACAATTCGAAATGTCTAACATTGACCAAGAAAAAACAACATGCCACATGCCACACAGCAAAGCGACAACCAGCAGCAGCGGCAGCAGCAGCAGCAGAAGCAGCAGCATCCCGACTTCAGTCAAACGGCGTTGCTGCTAGCGTAGACAACACACATCCTATTTGCCACAGGCAGGCGCTTTCGTCCTGTGCGTGCCACACACGTCAAAACGCAAACGCGTGTATTTCTCTTGCACCGGCTGCAGTTTTTCTTGTGAAAATCTTATTTAAAAAAATATCTAAAAAAAAATTAAAATATTATTGAAATGCTCAATCAGATCGTGATCGTTAACAAAATTAAATTTGCCAGCTGCTGACGTGCATATTTTTTGGGCCAGGTTAACAATTTGCTTGCTGAACTTGTTGCCAAAGTTGGGCATAGCCTTGTGCTAGCCGCGCGTTGACCGCGACCGCTAATTAGCATTGGATTGTGGTTGAGAAAAAAAACCAATATTATGTACAGCTAGTGGAAGAACAAAATTAAATCAAAACTTGATCAAAATAATTAAAATCCTATACCTTAAAAAATTTAGAAAATTCAAATAAAGCGAAATCAAAACATAAACAATTTACTTAAAATTTAAATGAAATACATTTTAATCAAAGCTTAAAAGTGCAGTGAAATCAAACGATATTTACAAATAAAATTTGTGCTAGATCTAAATTCAAATGAAAATCATAAACTAATCAAATCAATGCAACAATTTACTAAAAAGAGCTTCATAAATATATAACAAATAAAATATTTATCCAATACTATACACAATTAAAAATATCAAAAAATAGCCTCTAATAACAATAAAAAAGAAATCGAAACATTTATTTGAATTGCCGTCTAAAACGACAAATACAAAATGTATCTAATGTTATAACTAACAAGTGACGCCAATTAATCAAATACCAAACGCTGTGCCACACATGTTGCACACATATTTGCAGCATAAATAAAAATCCGTCGAGGGCTGCACTAAGTATCACATAAAATATGCCAATAACAATCAAAATTTAAGCAAATCATTTGACAATCTGACCCAAATGCCATCTAAACAAAGTAAATCTCAATAAAATAAATATGTAAATGCTGCAAATTTTAACAAGTTTTACATTGAAATTATACAAATTTGATCAAAATTTGCAAATGGCAAACAGCATTAAATTAAAATGTGTTCTACTGTTGCCATCGGCCCACATCTAATGGGCTTGTGTGTGTGTGTTAGTGAATATGTGTCTGTGCATGTGTTTGGCAATAATTGAGCGAGTATGCATTAAAATAAATGTCAAATATATATATATATATAAATAAATTAATAACGTCCATAAAATAAAAGGCTGGCGTGCATAATTTAGGCTTATAAAACATTTAAAGCCGCAGCACGTTCAAAAAAAAAAAAAATACAACAAATAGAGTGTCATATCAGGTTAGTGCAAAAGTGCATGCCTGTGTGCTAGTGTCTGTGAGTGTGCTTGTGTTTAAAAAACGCCGTGTGCTCGCTAAATGCTTTAATTAAAAGCCGGGCATAAACAACACCCATAGTTTGGATTATCAGTGGAAAAACGCTCGGTGGAAAACTTTATCTGTAAAGTCGGGTAAGTTATTGTCTGCAAATATTATTTACAAATTTTTCAAAAATTTCAAATTCACATGCTGTGTGGAACGCTAAATGGTTAATACCCTTGTTCATAACAGCTGCGCGTTGTATTGACTACTTGATAAAGTTGTCGAACAAAAACTCATATCGTAAATGTTAGCTATAGTCAGGAGTCAAAAGATTTTATGAAAAGCAGGAACTATATTATCTCAGTTGTTGTTATCATGGCCGAATCTGGCCAAGTCATGAATTCGCTTCGTTAACGTCAACAAGAATTGTTTAATTCTGCATAACAATAGATCTAGTTAATTGCTCATGAGTTTTAAATGAATCGCATATTGAATTATTCAGTAGCTTTTTTTGAAATAAAAATTTAATAAAAGTGAAATAAATCACAGAACTGCGACCATTTTCTTCAATTGTACAGATGTTAATTAATTGTTGCCACTTCTGAGAACCTAATTAACAGCCTTATGTTCATGTAAAGAACTTGCCAATATAAATTATTCATTGTTTTACTAATTACTTCGGCGTATGCCAGAGCATATTGTGGCTGGCATATAAAAACGTTTTCTATGCTTCTGCCTTGAAATTAATTGATTTTGAACAAAAAAAATTAAAGAAACCCACCGAAGCGACGTGGACAAAAAGTAAAGAGCAACACACTTGACAACTTTTGTGGGGAGTCCCTTTGTCCATCCTCTAACAGCTTGCTTATATTTTCTGCATTTTTTTTTCGCCCCAATTTGGCTGACTAGTGTTGATTTTGAGACAATGTCAGCTGGTCGACTTTGTTGTTATTGCATGTAATTAATTTTGCTGGCCAAAGTCGTCTGGGCAACGAGATAGAACTCTGTCTAAACTGGGCTATAATTAATTTAAATTAAGCTTAAATTGTTTTGATATATAATGTAAGATGACACACGCGTCCGCCCCCAAAAGGCCACGCTAATGCTAAATGTCCAGCGGCTGTTTTCTTCTTCTGCTTCTTTTTTTCTTCTGGCCGACACCACGCTGCGTATGCGTAATATGTAATTGCCTGAGCCAGGCCCCAAGCAAAAGCTCATTTACATTAATTGCTGTCATGAGTTTGTTGCGTAAAGCAAATTATATTTTCAAAATGAAATTCAAACGAATTTTCCCCAACTTCTCTGCTCAGCTATTTGCAAAGTAACAGTCAATGCTATTGAGTTTTTCCAAGATTTTCTTTGTGCATCTGTAACTGACGCAGTTGATAGATAGCCTTGGGAATGCTATTGGATTGGATTTGAGTTACAGCTGCAACTGAATTTCGATTTGATGGACTTGCAAATTATTTGCATAATGTAAATTAAATGCTTTTGCTTCAACGTTTATGCATACATATATATTTATATTTATATATATATATATATCGATTTCTATTCGATTGCCAGAGTAGACCAGCACGCTTGTCGCACTGATTGACATTGATTTATGACCATTTTATACAGGAGTATTATAATATTTTATGATTGGCATGCGTATGTCTAGCTCTTTCCTTTTATTTATTTATTTATTTTTAACCCAGCTAAGTTGCTGTTGCTGGAAAAACGTACATGTAAATACATCCGACCTTTTTAAACTTACATAAATTCCGTAAAACTTCTCAGCAGAATTCGTTTTTTTTTTTATAGAAAATACGCTCAAGTTGATAAATCATAAAATAGAATATGATTATTGCCAGGTTGCCAGGCGCCGCATTCAGTGCATATGGCAACAGTACGCACTTGTTTTAGCCCAGTTAAATAAATTCTGTGCCCAGCTTAGCCCAACACTAGCCGCAAAGCAAATGCCAACGTGCTCAAGTGCTTGACAAATATGATGAGGCGTGGCATAGCAAGGCGGAGGTAAACCATGCAAAAGCAAATCCCACAGCTGGCAGGCTAGGTTCGGCTGGCAGCTGCTCCAGCAGCCATACCCTTAGCCATTACGAGGCACCACAGCTATCTGTGGTTAACTCTCTCTCTGTCTCTCTCTCTCTCTCTCTCTGTGTGTGTGTTTGTGTGTGCATCTGCTAGGGTGTTTGGCGCTTGGCTGTGTGCATTGCCTCGGCGTAAGCTGAAACCAAACGACGTAAACAATTTGTAAGTCATGTGTAAACATCATAAGTTACGCGCATTTTCTGTTCAAATTATAAGCACTTAATGTCCCAACAGGAACGCAGCTGGCTAGAGAAAGAGAGGTACCAAGTACAACAACGTATACGCAACGCGCAAATATTACGCATACGCCACGTAATAGTCGGTCTGTCGTAAAATCAAATAGAAGCGCAGATACTACCAGCTGCTAATGCTGTCTGCTGTCTGCTGTTGTTGTTGTTGATGATGCTGCCTGCTTTTACTAGTTAGTTAAACAGCAGCCAAGTAATTAGATTTTTCCACATGAAGGCAAAGGCACAGAGTATATAACGCCAAGCGTGCAAATAGTTTCAAGTGTAAACAAAGAGCTGGCTTACCACGCCCGCGGCCCTGCTCACAACCATACCCACACCCACAACCAGCACATCCCAGCAGCCGCCCATACAATTCAATTAAAAAGCAAACTCAGTGCGAAAACTTAATGCGTTTAATGCGTGAGGGGCAAGCAAATGGATTAGTGTAGCATAGCGCAACCTGGCCGCACTTACCCCACAGCCATCCTTGCCTTATATTTTAGCTGCTTTAGCTGCTTCTGGTCATAAAGTTTATCCATATGCCACATGCCACATGCCGAATCTCCAAAGTGTGTGTGCGTGTGTGTGTGTTTGTGTGTAGTCCGCCAAACTCCGCGAGCTGTGCACGCGCCTCGGGCCGCTTTGCAACTGGTTTTTGTTGCTGCTGCCTGACATGCCGCTGCCAGAGTTATGGCTTATATACCCATTGTAGACGCTGAAATGTATGCAAGTTTTTTTATTTTGACGCCCATGTTGTCCCAGTTACGTGTATGGCAAAAGTTGCCCCGTCCAAAATTGATGCCAGCTTGTTATACTCTATGCAAAAAGTGCGCGGGAGCATATTGGTTGCGTGCAATGTTCGTTCTGCTTTGACAGAACTCTTCTGAAAGAAACATCTATGAGGCGGTTAGTCCTCTTGCTTGCACAGAAGCTACTCAACGGTTCGCTTAAGAGCGTTTTCACTGTTAATTTACTTACACTGTATATAATTATTGTTACAGATCGAAACACTTTCTATTAACAAGACAAGAAAAAAATCGTAAGCTATTTTTAATTTGCCAGCAGTGTAATGCATAGTCGTTTATGCTGCGTTTTGCAAAATTATTGAAAGTTTTTTCTGTTCAAATTGCACAAATGACCCAAAAGTTCACTTGATTTGAGATTTTTCTAGTTTTTTATGTGGGGGGTGGCAAGAGGCTACATTAGCAGAATGTACATCAAAGTAAAAGAATTGTATGTTGTAGTCAAATCAGATTGAACAAGTGTCAGCGACGTGCCGAAGATTTAATACACTTGTTTGAGGCTACTTTAAGCTGTATTTAAAAAAAATATATATCATTTATATATGTTTTGTCATATAGATACGAACCTTGCAATGAATGGAAGGAAGCACGGAGACTTTTAAAATTTGCCTTGAATTACATTTTTTTTTGAAATTTTAAATGTTCACAGAATTAGGGCTCAATGAAAATGTTGTTTTAATCTGTATAACATTACATTCGTTAATTTCTATGATACAAATATATAAAATATTGGAATAGTGAACTTATTTAAAACCCGTATTCAACTCTACGTATACATTTATTCGTATATAAAACTCTATAGGTATTTCATAGCGTTTATTTGTGGACATTTCTATTGTAAGGAAATTCAAATATATCACAACTTTGATCATAATGCGAGTAGAATGTGCAGAATACAAGTTAAAATAAATTAAAAATACAAAAAAAAAAAAACTAAAATAACCTGCGGCTGTAAATGTAAAATTTAAAGTCCACTTTATGCATAATTTAAATAATGTGGACTTTAGTGCATGCACAAAACTTTATGCGAACAATGTGTGTGTGTGTGTGTGTGTGTAAGTAAAACGCTGCCAGCTTTGTGTTTGGGCTCTGGACTGGCGAAGCTCAAACCTAAACCGAAATATGGTGCACTCTGGTCTGTTCTATGTGTGCGTTGTGCAGATAAAACAGCTGCATATAAATCATGTCATAGCCAAGATAAAGAGTGCAAATAGCCAGGAAAAGGTAGAAGAAGCAGAGCCCAACATAAATGCAGACTTCCACTTGAACTGCAACGGCAACTGAGACTGCAAACGCTGAGAAACGAGTTCATGGCTGTGCCAGAGATGCCAGCGACGGGACATTGTTTGATTTAGTCAGCTTACTTTTATAAAGGCTGAATGCAAAAATAAATATAATTGAATTACCTTTTTTAGTATTCGCTGTGTGTGGGCGTCCGTAAGCTGTCTGGCATTAAATTTAAATATATATAGTTAGGCGCTGAAAATGTTTATGCGCTGTGATCTTATTAATGATAAATAATCAATCCATATTGTTTCTATGCAGAGCTCAATCTGCTGTCAAGTTGCCATACATAAAGATGTAAAATAAAGCATGTTATAATGTTGTAAATTTCGGTTAAATTTAAAGACAAGTCTTGCTCCGCCTATCAAGCATGTCATATGTTGAAATCAATAAAATATTATTTAGAAAATATCATTTGCTCTAAATTCTAAGCCGACAGCTCAAACATTACATACGCTATGTTTAGAAAACTTCGGAGTCATAATTAGAAGTTAAGAAGCGCAGAGTTTTTTTCGCACAGTTTTATCAGCACAAACTTTACGCAGTCACGGACTTGCACAATAAGTAAGCACTGCTCCCAGGGCAACGCTCAGAAAATTCACGCTAATCCCCAAGTAATTGTCTGCTTTGGCGCTGACTGTCAATTTATTGACTTGTACATCTTTATACACCAGTCGCACCTGTCGCAGTTAATTCTAAGTGTCGTTTGCCGTTATTATTTCCATTACCATTGAATTT